ACAGCGTGTACTCAGATTATTGACTCGGGGCCGATTCAGCTAATGCAAATTACTGATTAGCGCGTGTGCTGTGTGCCAATGTTAATACCGCGGGGATTTCAATTTTGTTATAAACGGGTATAGGACGTGTCGGCCGTGATGGTAATATTAATTTAAAATTTACCAAAAGTCGGAGTCGTGTTGCCGCAGAGACGTTGACAAGAAGGCGGCGGGTTTGCTTGCATTTCGATTTTCTGTCGTGCTATTGTGTTAAAACTCGACTTAAGAAACCCAACGGGGTGGGTGGAAAACCGAAATTTCGGTTACGTATCAACAGCCCTCGAGTAGGTTGGCCGTAATTCCGTAGCCAAGTGGAGTCAAGGGGAGAGAACCAGTGCATGGGGAATTCTGTTTCAATTGTATTTGCTTCGTAGGTGTGTATGTGCAGCGATGTGACTAACCGGAGGCGCGAGGCGACGCTAATGACAAGGTGTAATCTTAAATGCGTCCTGTTGGCAAACTAACTTTTAATGAGTAAAGAAACTGTACCGGTGCTTCGGGAAACGTGCATGTTTAATTCTCGAAAACGCTTTGTCAATATAACTGCCAAAGTATGAAGTACAAAAAAAAAACAAAACTGTTTCGACTCGTTGTTTTTACTTGGAGCTTATGAATGCCAATTATTAAACTCCTACTGGATTTTAGGAAGATAAATCGCACGACAAATATAATTATAGCTAAAGTCAAAGAACAATCTTTGAATACTTTACCGTCTGCATTCACGTCTTTTAACCATTTTTACCAACAGCTAATAACAATGATGGTAATTATCAAGCATATTAACAATAGTCAGGTGCTGGTAAAAACAATTATTTATATTATATGAATTATTAAATTTATTAATAACGTATATTAAATACATTTTTTTTTTTTTTGCAGGAACTGGAAGTAATTTTTTATTCTTTAGTACATTGATAATTTAGTCTGTTTAGTTCGTTACCATTTGAACACACGGAAGGTATTCGATCAAAATTCCCTTATCTATCGACTAACACAGTATACATAAATTATCTGGTTGTTTGTTTGTCGTTAAAACAGACTGCCCTAAAAGTTGTATTATTTTCATTGAAACGGTCGACTGTCAAATTTGAGAATTTGGTTGGCAGACAGAGTATGACGAATGGCTTTCAGTGGACAGTGTTTTAATAGGAGGAAATAATAGTAAGCCAAAATCTTATCGCACGACAAATCTGGTCAGTAAGAGCTACGTTTTGAATTCGCTCTACTTATACGTTACTTAGTGTCTTGTTGGGTTTTCAAATTTTTTATAATATTATATGTGATGAACAAGTTATGTACGTTATTCTAGATAGAAAAATATACAATTTATATTTCAAAAATATATTTAGCCGATAAACATTTAAACCTTTTAAGAATATTTTTACTACAATGATTTAAAAATATAAACTATAATTATGTGTTTTGTGCTTTATTGATGTACTACAAGGTATTATAAATTTTAAATAATCGTTCGAAAATGTTGGATGAGCCACAAAATTATTATATGTGTTAAGTGACTTATGACTTAATAATATCTTAATATCAATTTTTATTTTTATGAAAATCGATCTAGCTGAAACAAATATTTGTACAAGCTTTCATAAGTGTCTTTCTAATTTATACATGTATAAATTATAGTTTATTTCCCTTCTATGAAACATAACTTGAAGAGGTTAGTGATCAGACGAACGGATACGCCTTTTCAATTTTATACATACGATACTCTTGAAAAGTTTAAAGAGGCGTTTGTTCAATTAAGAAGACGTATTAAAATTTTACGCGAAACTTTCAAGTTTCAACAGCTACCCGGGACGTGCTACAGATAAAACTTTGACTTTGAATAATAAAATATTGATCTTCAAAAGTTGGGTGATTGATCGATTTGTGCTTAACGCATAAAAAAGATAATTAAAAAGTAAAAAACCATTCAGACATTATGTATTTTTTAATTTTATTTCCTATTTAAGAGTAGAGCGTTTCTAGATGACGGATAGTTATGAAAAACGAGTTTAACGAGAGCCAACACACTGTCAACAGTCAGTGTGTCTACTAGTTTTAATTAGTGGTCAAATGCAATAAACCGAGTGTTGTTTGGCAAACCTGGGGCTAATACTAAGGAGGACGAAAAAATGTATCCCCTTTACCGATGTAAAAACTAATTAAGTCGTGTTGTTTGATTATCGAATGCAATAATGCCATAATATATACTATGTGGGAAAAATATTATTTTTTTCTTGTTATTTATTTCATGACGCGATGGAAAAATGGAAAAAGGGGAAAACAATAATATCACTTCCTTATATTTACTCGCCTAAGTATAAGGAATATTTAGGCGAGTAAATTCTTCATGTTTATATTTTACAAAATAAAAATGATATAATATAGTTTTTCGATTTTATTTAAAGAAATAAAATCTAAAGAAATCTTTAGATTAATATATATTGTAATTATTTTTAATGAACAATATTAATTCATGTAGTACACTAGCACACTGTATAAGGGTCTCGATTGTAAGTTTCCCTAGGGATACATGTTCCTTTTATACGCTTTCAAGAAATGATAAAGGATGAAACTTTATTCTGCTGGAAGTTTGGCTTGAAGTCACTCAAACATTACAAGTTTACCACATAGTTATATCAAACCGAAGTCGACGTTTTAAAAGTTTATTCTTTAAAGTTTTAACGATTTCGTTAATGATATCGAAGAAGACAAGTCATAAAGTGTAATGTGGTTCTATTTAATACACATTGTTACTTTATTTGTGTTTTTCAAACATACTAAAAGGGCTTAAGGCACTTTTTAGTAATATTATGGATTGAAATCAGCAAGTGTTACAATATTAAAATTTACCAATTATGGAAACTTAAGACTTTTAATCTGTTAAATTATTTTAGATACATTAATCTAAAACGTAAAAATATGAATTTTTAATGTGAGTTTTATCTATCAAAATAAAAACTGAAATAAGTATTTTAAAATGTATCAAACTATGGGATGTGGTATTACGAATAGCTGATTGTTTTTTAGCTTGAACAATACATTTTTTAAGAATACTTACGTTTTGAGTGAGAAAAAAATTATGTACTTGAAATTTTACCAACAGTCCAATGCGAATACAATGAGTTAAGTACATATCCATGTGTATCACAATGAAAGTGGGAGTACATCTGTAGCGTATTATTTTGTTAAGTTGAATAGTATTTAACAATAAATTTAGGTAGTTAAAAGTATTTTTCAATTTAAATTTCATTAAATATAAGTTAAATTATTGTTTAACTTATTTAGTAAAATAGCCAGTAAAAAAAAAAAAAGTTAAAGACTTTATCGGTTTTGTACATTAAACTATAATTTCACATCTAAGTTTGTAAGGGTTCTTTTATATCTACAAAGTTATGATGAGCTAGGGTAGTTCTTTAACGTCTAAAAAGTTTTCGAGTAAGTTATTCAAAACGTATGTACACGTTACGCTGCACATCACTTAGTAATGCGTAACAAGTGTATCGTTTTATACTCTTTTAGTCAAAGTAGTTCTTAAGATTATAATTTGTTGATAAGTATTATATTATTTATTAATCGGTTTATAACGGTTTTCGAATGAAACAATTGGATACGAGACTAATTTAGAAAAATACCGAGAAGCGTAGATATTTTTTAGAATATAAGCAATCTAAATCTTGGACAAGATGAAGCTGCTGGAGTAGAATATTAGTAGAAAGATAAAATATTTTTTACTCCATGCATTGTACAGCTGTTACCAGTTCTATTCTATGAAGTGTACACAAGACCCATTGATTAGTATAATGATACATTAACTAAGTAAACTAGAGTAACTAACTGCATTCGGTGTGACCTAAACTAGCATTATTAATTTATTATCAGTGAAAAATCCCTTTCGCTTTTATTTTTATTAACGCCAGCAAGAGTTAAAACCTTTGCACTCAAACTTCTCTTATTTCAATTTACATATTATGACTGTTGCTAAATTGGTATCGTATTAGCATAAACAAATGCATTTTATTTTTGATGTCAAAACTCAAAAGGTTATTAAAAGTGTTTTTTAGCTTTATTTTTACTTTTTAATGAAAAAAATTACACTACATGTACTGTGATTTTAAAATTTTATGTATGATAATTATGAAAAAAATAAATTACACGTGTTGTGGTATACTAGATTTTTCAGAATAAAGTTCTGGGACACACAATACTAATCTAATAAAGCAAATTATTATCTTTAAATTACACTGTGATTTACAGAGTATGTTATAGTACGAGGGTGTTTCCCGAGTGGTTAATTCAACGGCTTAATACTGTTTTGAGTTAGCTTCCACACTCATTCGTACTTACCACCCGTCGTTTCACTCTTTGCTGGGATCGGTTCCGGCGACTCAAGTTAATTTTAGCTTTAAGTGCACGAATAAAGCAGCGTGTATACGGTGAGTGGATTATACATTTATGCATTTTATACATATCGATTTGACACATTGTTCATGAACCTATTATAACTACAATATGATATACGTATATATGATAGACGCTATTTATGTAGTTTATACTATAGCTAAATATATATGTATGTCTGCATAACCCTTAAAATGTCATGAGTTTCACATTCACAGACGGAACGGATAAAGAAAAAACTAAATATTCATCGTAGCATTAAATTTTTTAGGCTGGAAATGGTTGTCAAATATCACCTATAATAATACATTTTTGATTCCGCTTCCAGATAAATGTATTACGCGTATCGAAAAACAGACCTATCTACATTTTTAAAATACTTTTACACTTTCTAACGGGAACTACATACTGAACTTGGTTAGCTCAAAAATAAAATAACAAATACACAATAAATGATACATCGTGTGTAAACAGTTTTAACGATTATGACATGGGTAATATTATCACATAAAACTTTGAATTGCTGGAACTGAACTATAACTGATTTAATAGGAAAAACTCACCGATGGAAGCATCGTAAATGTGTAATGACTCGGAGGTCATAAACTGGCAGACCAGTGATGTCTTGCCCACACCGGTGGCGCCTATCATGGCAATGCGGAATGGTTGGGTGATGCCGGGACAACTGGCGCAACTGGATTCCCTGGACGACGCCAAAGAGGTGCCGGCACTGGTTCTCGCTGATCCTGGATACGAACCTCCACCGCCTCCTCCGGCACCGATCACGGTGCAATTGGTGGCCGTTAAGTGTTCGGTGCTAAAAAAAATTACAAATTAAATACATAAGTCTGAGGACTTAAAAAAAAAAAAAACCAAATAACACACGATGAAATAAATCACTCATGAAAAGACACAACATAATACGAACAAAAGTTTAAAGGGAGACTAAGTAAAACGTCAATAGTTGCTATAAAGTAGTGATCCAGGATATGTATTTGGAAGAATCATGGAAAAAAAACGTCAATCCGAATACTTATGGTACTTATAAAATACTGATACTTATAAAATGTATTGTTTTCCAACATTTGGAATTATCGAGAAGAAAGATAGTTTTAACGAATAATGGTGGTTGGCGGCATTCAGTGGGCCTATAAAAATGTAACCACCGCCAACAACCTGCAAACTATAAACGACACTTGTCCGATGATTAAAGTCGTAAAAGGGTGGAACGGTTATAATTAAAACGATTATAATGTCTTGATATGGTTATACATGTATATTTTCTTTTGTGGCGGCTTTTAGACGCTGAGAACTTTGTTACATAGCGACTGCCCGGACTAAAAATGTTTACCGCATGCTCAAAAGTGCGATTTAATTTAATAAAGTACTTAATCGATAATTTTCATAATGATCTAAAATATATACATATTATAATATATTTAAAAAAACACCTCGAAAATCTGTGGTTGTTAAATTGCGTTTATTCATTTTCAGTCTGTCCTGTGGCTTAAAATAACATTTGAATTGTTAACAATTATTTTTTTGGAATGTTGATTGCTTAAATCAAGGGATTTAGCTGTCGTATCGAAATCAGATATAAACGAACATAATTGAACATCGTTAAAAATTTGGCATTATTGCGAATGATAAAAAAACTGTCATTGTTTATATAAAATGGAATAAATAAACGGGAAAAGCCTAGATATATAACACTAATTTCCAATTATTTTTTGGAAAACTATATTAAAAAAAGCTTAAGTATATTTTTAAGATAACACACTTTCTTGTATTATCGCTGTGTCATAGACACATTCGAAAAAACAAGTGTAATACTGTTTTAAGAAACACAAATTGTAATTTTAATTGTAAAATAGGTCAGTTTTCATTACACTCTCTTGCTTAACAATTTGTGTAAATAGTCCATCAAATAATTACCATAAAACATTAATTCATCACTAGAATTAGTATGCTTAATGTAATTAATGACTCCTGCCATGTAGATAATGATACGATTTGCATATCAAACAAATTTGAATTTTTTCTCTGCAATTTACATTACTATACTTTTAAGTTTTATTACAATATTTGTTTACCCTACGGAGTATCTCTTTTCTTTGTAGCTGATCTACTGTCATTATAACTAATGTACATAATAACAATTTTGGATTATATCGGTACTGAAACCATACCAAAAAAAAAAAAAAAAATTATTACTTCTATCTTTACATTTCTTCCTCATCTATTCGGTCAATTACGTTTCGTGCCGTTAAATATTGCTCCTATGCCAATTACTATGCGACATATACTTTCCGTAATATAAATGTATCCATAGGTTAGGTACGTTTACAAGATGATATTTACCTGGAGTTACTGGACGCGACGCTGTTGTTGGACTTAGATCTACGACTTTTCAAAGAATCTCCTCGATTTATTATACCCTTGCCGGTGATGGTGAACTGCCGAATCCTGTAATATTCTTCTTCCACGCCCGTGTTCGGCATACTAGCCACTCTAGACCGTTGTTGGGGCAACGTGAGCTGATTAGAACGGTTTTTGGGTATTCCGTTGGGCCCGAGTTGCAGCTGCACTGTGCTTTTACTGCCCGGCGTTCGGACACTCTGCGACCGATTGTGATGTGGGCTTCCATACCTGTTGGACAAAAATCGAGTAAACAACAGACTTGAGAATAACGTAAATATTTAATTATACTACTATGTAAATGGTTAATTAAAATTTGTGATTAGGTCGTAATTAATAGAGTATAGTATTTTAAATAACAACGGGATCTTTGATGCTCCGTTCATACTAGACGATCAAAGCAATTTATATACATATTATACGCAGCGTTTGAAAACAAGTTGGTATTTTCTGAAATCCGCTGGAACGCGAACTCGTGCAAACAATTAGATAATTTATTAAAAAGGTAGTACCCGATAAAGTTTATTATACCGGCAGTAAAATGTACATTATTCCACATCTTTCTTTCTACGAGTAATTTATTTTACAATGTTCGGCGACAAAATTGTGTGAATACGAACGAGATACTTTCTGATATATTGCGAATGTCCTCAAAATAAATCAAACTTGGCTATTTAGACGATATTCGTTTTTCCAAATCTGGGTCGTCGCCCGTGATAATCCCGTTAGGGTCTCGTACAAAATACAAATCCCACGGACATTGTTATTCTGGCCTTCTCGAACAAGTTCCTCTGTTACAATGTATCCTTGTTGGTTTTCAATTTTATATCTTTTGATACGTTGCAAATCTAGTTTTAACCAAAGCATACAGTGTACTTTTATATTTCATTTTAAACACATATTGCCCATCAGAAAAGTTAGAAAACGAAAGGATTTCAAGAAAAAATCAACAAGATCATTAACGTTGTCACACTACAACCTAAGACAGTTTGATTAAATACTTTATAGTATAGGTACGCATAGACTTTACTCTAAAAGTATTTCATTTTTATCAACCGTCGAAAAATTTGCCAAAATTATTTTGGTTATTAATCTAGCGTATAGATAATCAACTGGACCACGTAGGTATAATCCGTAATATAGATTCCTAAAACATTATTATTTTCGTTGTCGTTTATGCTTTGCGAGTAATCAATATTTTTTCAGTACACATTCATTATTATTGGCCACTGATGTTATAATGGATGAATGAGTTTTACCGTTTAATAATAGAGCAAGCCACTAGAACATTCTAATTAAAATTCATCGGTTTCCACAAATCTGCTTAATACCCTTGGCTACATGTTATATTCAAAAATAAAGAAAAAACTACTGATGATAGTACACCATGCTCAATTGTCTTGTTTTATTATAAAATATAAATATTGTTTATTATAAATCATATGATGTAGAGCTAAGATTTATTTTAGATCAAACTTGGTGCAAAAGTTCCATTTATTTTACATACAACGTATAATAAGAAAGAGCAATCAGGTCCATTTGATAATCTCTCTTGCTTAACTTTAAGTTAGAACAATAAAAATAACAATATCAGACAACAAATAAACTGTAGGTAAACACGCAAAATTGCATGCGTTACATGTACACAATTCGTTCATTTTCGTCGACGCTAGAGGTTCGATGAGTCGTTAAGCCATGGTTCAAATTACTGTTATTTAATATTATATAATTTCGGTCATTGTTGATAATTAATCGTTACAAAACTTGTCGTTACACCGAATAAAATATAATAAACGAATTTGCGATTAAAGTTTAGTAGCAGTTCGCATGCTTTTTATTGTGATTAAAAATACAATGGTTTCGCAAAAATCTCATAAATATGGCATAGGGCATAATTAAAAATAACATTTATAATAATTCATAATTTTTAGTTATTCTTTTGTTATATCTAAATTGATTTTCCTATAAAAAAAATGAGTGGTATCGTTGGGGCCAACGAGATAAACATAAACGAAGGCCCACAGGGAAATTCCTACTTTCCCTATAGGCAAATATATATATATATATATGCAGTAAAAGACAGATAATAACTTTTATTTAAAACAAGCAAAGCGGATTGCCTGTCTACCAGGTTGCCTATAGTGACATAGTATACTTCCAGACATCAATGTTATAGGTTGTAAAATACAATTCACGGAGATTTAAAAAATGTATAAATAAATAATAAATAGTAATAGTAAAATTTATGGTTTAGGACACACCATACAAACAGGTAAAATATATAAATAAGTATGAACATTATAAAATACATGATATAGTAATAAGTAACTTGACACTAACTTCAAGTCACACAGAATACAAATATAGTCTATATATTATATCCTTCATTATTTCCAAACAGATTATTCTTAAACATATGAGCTTTGAAGAGCTTTATGTATAACACATAAGCTTTATAACATAATATAGTATAATTTATATAATATTTTTTCATTTTTGTTTTTGTTTTGAAAACTAATCATAGGTTTTTGCAATTTAAAAAATGATTCTTTAAGCTAAAATATGATACTTGAAAATCTTTATTTTGGTATTTTGTAAAAAAATTATTTCTTAGCGAGTTATAAGTTGTATATGTTTTAATGGGCTGTAACTTAAAGAAACAATTTTTATCGTTAAATATTAAAAAAGTAGTTACAAACCACATATTAACTTAAAGAATAATTTTTTATATTGTAAAAACGTTGAGTAGTTTTCAAGTTAGAATGTTTTAAACAAAAAATCGGATTTCCCATGCTAATCAAAAAAAAAAAAATATTAAAAATAAAAAAAAAAATCACGAGGAAGTACTTATAGTTAATCTAGAGATCGGAAATTTCAGAGATTTCTTATTTGAATGGGCTAGTATTGATTGGGGGTAAGTAAAATTGTTCTTAGACATAGTCTAATGTATACATGGTTTATGCTCTCAATAGCTATAGTTGTATATCAATTCAGCATTGTATAATAGATCGGCTTACAAGTACATTCGAACAAGACTATGACTTACTGTCGCACTGTACTTTATTCTTACAAGCTTTGCCAATTCATCCATTAATCTGATACCGAGTGCAAGCGATCATTAAGTGTGACTACGCGTGGTAGAAAGTCGTTCAGAGACGACAGCGCGACGTTGATTGAATCGTGTCGCACTCGAGACCGACGTTGGCAATGTATAGATATTAAGTATAATTTACTTGTAATCCATGGCATAATATAGAAACAACATGCGCCTTAACATAATAGCATTTCAGCCAATATCTTTGTATAATACAACCCCTCTCGACAATTTTTTGTTCACACCTGTCTCACACGAGTGCCTCGAGTCGTTATAAATTGTGTAGTTCGTACTCCGTTTTACACTTGTCAGTGACCCGATGATTAAGATCGAATTCGTGGGAATAAGATAAATCCCATAGCCTCTTTTCCAGAACTCTAAGTTTTGACTTCAACGCTTTAATAAAATGCTAGGTACGCAAGATGTCGCGATTGTATCAGACTTTGTTCCTTGCAAATAGTATAAAACCACAGTAAATATTGAAGCCACTTTAATTCAATTAAATGTTCAGTCATCATTATCGGTACTCTAAACTATCACTTAAAAAAAAAAAAGATATTATTTATTAAAGAAAGCTAGCATACTGAGGAAGGATGATAATGAAGTCAGGGTGGTCATGGACTTATATAAATGAGTTGTCATGTCTGAAAATGATCAAACCATTTTTAAAAAACGTTTTTACATCTTAAAAAATATTTAATATTTATAAAAGTAATTTTATAAGAAATCAATATTGTTTTGATAAAAGTCTTTGTTTTTATCGGAGTCTCTTCTTTCTTCAAAAAAACGTTTGCCCTTAGATGTTTATGGACTCTTCCTTCCCTCCATCCTGACTTCCTTCCAGGCACCGCCAACCCAACGATGTTTCCTCGTCCTTCCCCTTTCCACGGATTTTTCTCCATTATCCTTCCAAACATGCTCTCATGTTCTTTTCTGGCGGGAGGGGGAATTCGAGGGAAAGTGGGAGTAGAAACCATTGAGAGGAGAGAGTACGATGGGACAGAAGAAACCGGCAGCAGCAGTAACACCGTCGTCGATGAACGACAAACAAAACGGTGGCAGCAAGAAAAAAATAGCGAGGGTAGAACACGCATTGGTATATTTCATAAATAAGACCGCGGACTGCGAAGACGATCGTTTCAGATCTCACAGTCCTGAAGGTGGAAGATAAAAGGGTTCCGAAAAGTTGGCAAAATCAATTTATAATTATTATAGTTGTAACGGTAAGGCGTGTAAATATTTCAAACATATCCCATACAAACATAAACCAATTTTTACGATTTGTTTCGATATAATTTTTTTGATAATTTATGTCAAAAAGACTCGTTAAAGAAGTCACATAGAGAAAGACATGTTTATGTTAACGAATGTTTTTGCGCAATTTAAATTTGTAGTACAATATTGAATAACCTAAAAAATATTCTTAAACAAAATGTATCGACAAGACACGGAAAATACTTGGCGCGTAATAGAGTATATTTTGTTTAGTAAATTAATTAATTTTCGATTTATTAATTCTATTAATTGTCAAAATAAACGTAATAGTAATATATACGGCACGTTTCCTATGAATAAAACAAGCAAACGATAAAGATGATGATTATTTCGAGTTTTCATAATCCAATTTAATACGATAATTAAAGAAGCCCGGGCCAAAAGTAATTTATTTTCTTATCAGGCGTAGCGATACGCGGAAAACTTACTGCTCTGTACATAAAAGTGACATAAAATTGACAAGATTATACGAATTAATTATTCGTTGCTCTATAAAATCTCAGAGTTTACGTTGTCTCCTAATACAAGGCCGCATCGCAGCTCCGTAATAATTAGGGTTTTGATAAGAAACAACAGCTATAGCACAATAAGCATAATTTGTAGTGAATTCATAACCTTACCATAATACAAGAGAGGAGATTTAATAACGTGACAATAAATTACAAAATCATACTAATATTTATACAAAAATTGTTGTTTGGTCGCTTATTTTTCACTTGTAAATATTTATAAGCGCTCAGTAGTTAATAAATTGTAAAAGATTTTTATTTTCTCATTTCAATAATTTTATTATGCGATATATAGCTATATTTTCGTCATTCATCGTGAAGTCTAAAAATAATAATGATTGTTATAATAATTG